CTATACATCTCTGCATGATATTTTATCCTTTTTAACATTAAAGAAAAGGAAAAAAGAAAGACATATGGTCAAACTTACAAAGAATATCTTTATTAAATCGTGTTTTAAGTCTGCAACAGAAAATATTTTAAGCGCATCAATGCCTGAAATTAAAAATAAATAAATCCTTTTTATACTGTAAACATGTTTGACCATTGAAAAATTAAATCAAATCAATAAATAATATTTAATAATTATAATAACTAATAAATTTATATTCAGTTAAGCAACATTAACTCAGGAGCACAATATATAAAACTCGTAGCTTTCGGGTGACTTTCTTTTGTCTCGTTATCTTTGTCTCTCTCCGCTTTTCTTTTCATCCCCGTTAAAAACTTTTCCATGTTGGGGTTTGTTATGTCTAATAACGGAGGCTATAGCCAGAACAGTCGGAGATGCTAACCGAGGCTAACCTGTTGTCTTTAAGTCATAAAATGTTGCACTGAAGTAACGATGAGAGCGCCACTGCCCCCTACTGGAGTGGATGCGCAATTACACTTTATACTAGTACGGCCGGGGAAAAAAGGCTCTTCCCCAGGCTCACACGCGCCCCCACGTATCGCACCCCCCACTATTTGAGAAGCACTGCGCTAGGAGGACTTAGGCTGGGCGACCCCCCCACCTCCTTCAGCACGGCGGCCATGGCGGTGTTGTTGTCGGGGCCGAAGGCGTGGCCGGAGCGGTCCGGCTCCTCCCAGTAAAGCGCCGCGAACATGGCGCCCTTCTCCTGTTCAGCATAACAAGGTCAGAAAGGGGGACAAAGGGGACCCAGTCACGATACGAAAATGTTCAACTCGATACGGATACTCAGGAAAATACTCGATACCATTTTTAATACCACAAGGATAAAAAAAAAAAAGAGACCCCAAAATTCAACTGAATTTTGACAGGTTAGTGTCTTTCGTTCCAAACTTACCTATTACTGATGTTATGGTGGCCCACATTAATGACCCTAACCCTCCACCCTAAACCTAACCCTGACCCTAAACCTGACCCTAACCCTCCACCCTTCATAATTGTGAGAAATAAATATTTAATTGGTTAAACTTGTTTGGACTTATTGTACAAACCTATTTAACATCCACTATTTTAACATAATATTATGTATAGAGTTTAATTCAGTGTTTGCAAGATTAATTTAACTCTTTTAAATTAATGTCTATATTGCCATGAAGAGATTACGATTTTCTTGCCTGGGATCTTCCTATTGGTGACCTAATAAAAATGGCCGACTTGGATGTGGGGGAGTTAGATATCCATCCTTGGCTTCCTGCAGACTTGATTAATGTTGGCGTGTTGTTATTAGCCATTAGCCGCAGCTAGCAATTCAAGGCTAACGTCACGTTAATGATCATAAACAACGTAAATAAATTCATTAGAGAGAAGGGGGGGGGTATCGATACTTTTTGGATTATCGATACTTTTGAAAATGAGTATCATATCCAGATACAACGTTTTAGTATCGATACTTTTTGGATTATCGATACTTTCTTTTGAAAATGAGTATCGTATCTGGATACAACGTTTTAGTATCGATACTTTTGACCACCCTGGCCTTCCTACCTTCCCGTTTCCCGCCATCCAGCTGGTGACGTTTCCCAGCCGCTGGCGGAAGGTGACGGCGGCGTCGTACGGGAGGAAGTGCGTCGCCGTGCGGTTGCCGATGGCGACGTCGGAGCCGGGCCACATCATGGCCGCCGTCTCATAGCCCGAGTCCAGCGCGGTGAGCCAGAGGGGCTCCGCCTCGCTCCACCACCAGGGGTCGCTGTCGTTCCGCAGGCTGAAGTGCTTGTGGCTGACGGGGTCGTACATGCTGCTGGCCAGGACCCCGTGAGACTCCGCGTACAGCCCGGTCACCTAGCAACAGGGGGGGGGGGGTAAAAAACCGAGCAATATAGGGTGGAGGGTTAGGGTTAGGTCCAGCCCCGGCCTCAGAGCACCAGGATGGGACCGAACAGCCTCTGGATGGAGTCTGTAGGAGCTTCGGTTGGATATCCGACTCCTCCCACATCCAGGTTGGCCATTTTGATTAGGTCATGTGACTAGCAGCTTTCTGAGGTGGAAACGAAACTTTACTGTCTACACGAAATCGGAAGACAAACGATGTGCTAAACCTAACCCTGACCCTAGTCCTAAACCTGACCCTAACCCGATTCCTAAACCTAACCCTGACCCTAACCTTAAACCTAATCCTAAACCTAATCCTAACCCTAAACGTAACCCTCCACCCGTCATAATTATGAGAAATAAATATTTTTTGGTTCAATTTGTTTGGACTTATTGTACAAACCTATTAAACATCCGCTATTTTAACATAATATTATGTGTAGAGTTTAATTCAGTGTTTACAAGATTAATTTGACTATTTTTAATTTAATGTCTATATTGCCATGAAGCAATTAGGATTTTCCTGCCTGGGATCTTCCTATTGGTGACCTAATCAAAATGGCCGACCTGGATCCTAGTCTGAGGTACTTGCCAGGCTGTAGTGGTTGGGAAACGTCTTGGTGATGAAGACGTTGGTGAGCTGCTCCACCAGAACCCCCTGGCTGTACAGAAGCTCCAGGTTGGGCATGTGAAACCTCTTCAGGTAGTCGGCACGGAAACCGTCAAAAGACACGAGCAGCAGCGGGGGCGGGCCCTGAGTCGCCGGGTCGTTTCCAGCCGCCAAAGCAAAGCCGCCACACAGGAAGCCCAACACCACGTTCAGCAACATGCTGGCAAGGGGGAAGAAAGAAAAGAACCAAGGCTGAAGGCAGTTTCACATCATC